AATACAAGCATTTCAGTCAAATGTAATTTATGCAATATTTCAAACCTTTAACCCACTTGGGAAAAGCAACCCATGGCAACAGTTTAAAAGTAGCCCAATTCTGTGGAAAGAACGTGGACTTGGCAACCCTGCATCCAACAAGAGCTGCAGCAGTCAGCTTTGACTGATCACAGGTTGAGAATAAGGAGAGATGACTGACAAGACCATGCTGGAGTATTTGCTGCTCAACAGATTCTGAGCTCATTGACAAATATCTGATCTTGTAAGATGTGCTTGCTCCCTTTACACAGAGTCCGTGTGATCGCGAAATCGAAAGTGAAAGTAAACAGCGCAAACGCGCCAGTGATGATGCTTCTTACGTCCGTTTCGGAGAACCAGAGGACAAATATTTCAGTCGATCGCTCAGGCATGGCACCGAATTGAGGCATCGAAATCTGCGTTCTGATTCGGTCCTAGTACATACCGGTTACATAGGTACTGGTGCCATATTGGTACCGGGTTTCGGTACCCAACCCTACCGAACAATGACGTGACTCGATCAAATAGCAACTTAATCATTTAATAACACTATTAAATGTAATTTTTAGTTATTTTTAAAAATTAAATGTGTGTGATGCTTTAATTCAGTTATAATGTTTAAAATGATTGATTGTAGTTTATCTTTAATTTATTTAGAAAAAATGTATGAAATTTTAATATCAGACATTTATCAGTTATGACCCATAACATGAAAATAATTATTAATTTATTGTTATTGGCAATAATTTTAAGAGAAGAGACAGAAAAGATTTGTATGTGTTATATAGGGCTGTATGTAATATATTAACATATAATATTATATGTAAATATGTATGTCTTCGTCTCTTTGCTGCAGGTTCCCAGACTGTGATGAGTCTTACCCTCGTGCTGTAGATCTGCTCGTGAACGAGGACCCCACTGACCAGTCGTCCATGTCCATTCAGCGTGACTATGGCTTCTGGTGCCCCCGCGAGCTCAAAGTGGAGCCCGAGCTCGGCTACACGTTTCTCGGTGTGCGGGACTGCTCCCCTCCCTGTCCCAACATGTACTTCCGGCGCGAGGAGCTCACCTTCGCCCGCTACTTCATTGGCGTCGTCTCCATCGTCTGCCTCTCGGCCACGCTCTTCACCTTCCTCACCTTCCTCATCGACGTCACACGCTTCCGCTACCCAGAGCGGCCCATCATCTTCTATGCCGTCTGCTACATGATGGTTTCGCTGGTGTTTTTCCTGGGCTTTCTGCTGGAGGATCGTGTAGCGTGTAATGCAGCCAATCCCAGCCAGTACAAAACGTCCACAGTGACTCAAGGCTCGCATAACAAGGCCTGCACGCTGCTTTTTATGGTGCTGTACTTCTTTACCATGGCGGGAAGCGTTTGGTGGGTCATCCTTACCATCACCTGGTTCTTGGCTGCTGTTCCCAAATGGGGCAGCGAAGCCATCGAGAAGAAGGCGTTGCTCTTCCACGCCAGTGCGTGGGGAATACCTGGCATGCTAACCATAACCCTGCTGGCTCTGAATAAAATCGAGGGTGATAACATCAGCGGCGTGTGTTTCGTGGGCCTGTACGATGTTCACACTCTTCGCTGGTTCGTGCTGGCGCCGCTCTGTCTGGACGTCCTGGTGGGAGTGTCGCTGCTGCTGGCCGGGATCGTAGCGCTCAACAGGGTCCGAATGGAGATTCCTCTGGAGAAGGAGAATCAGAACAAGCTGGTGAAGTTCATGATCCGGATCGGCGTGTTCTCGGTGCTGTATCTGGTGCCGCTGCTGACCGTGGTGGGCTGTTACCTGTATGAACAGACGTACCGCTCTATTTGGGAGACCACATGGGTGCAGGAGTGCTGCAGAGACTACCACATACCCTGCCCGTTCCAGGTAAATCAACACACAAACATACTTTATATTTAAATTCTACTTCTGCAAATTTTATTAAAGGGGTCATCGGATGCCCATTTTCCACAAGTTGATATGATTCTTTTGGGTCTTAATGAAAAGTCTGTAACATAGTTTGGTTAAAATTTCTCAATGGTGTAGTGTAAAACAATACTGTTTTTACCCTGTCAAAAACAGCTCTGTCTACAGCAAGCTGTTTTCTTGCATGCCGCTTTAAATGCAAATGAGCTCTGCTCACCCCACCCCTCTCTTCCATGCCGCTCTCTGAGAGATGATAAACTTTAACCGCATTCATCGCGAAACTTGCTAACTAGCACATTATTAAGAAAGGCGATTTGCAAAGATTAATTAAAAAACCTTATACTCACTTCTTCTGGAGGTGAAGCTGAACATAGCGAACATAAACGCATTTATGTAGATCGGGAGGAGCATTCCCTTCAAAAACAAACATACTCCACTGCGTCTTCAGCGGCTCAGATGTCGGGAGTAAATGACGACTGCTATGTTCATTATTACATCCAACAACAAAACACCTCAAAGACATTCTTGTCTACAACTGCTCCGCGGTGAAACAATGGCGGACTGATGACAGCTCACTCAGAGCGGGTCTACGATAAGACACCAGTCCAGTCTGTGCTGAAACGCTACTGTCAATCAAACTATCATGGGAGGGGCCTGTCTGTGTGACGTCACACAGACAGGCATCTGAGATCG